CAGAATCCGCACATCGAGGAAAAGTTAATCCACGGTTCCAAGTACAGGTTCTTTAATGTGACGAGTGGATTCCCATATATATCTCCCTGCTCAATCTATCCGAGCGTCGTATTGTCAGGCTAAACGGATCTAACTAGGTCAAGATTTGTTAAGTCTAAGAATTTCTTAAGTTCAACTCTGCCTAGTCAAGTCCATTTAGAATCTTTCATGCCTACCAGCGCATCAAACCAGAGCATAGACCCTTCAACTTTGGGTACGTTACGCAGACTCAGATTGCTTGTTATAACTTGATAATATCACTTCCCAAAACATCTCCCTCAACCACATTCCATAACCAACATATTTTTGGTTTTTCTGATTTTCTAATGTTTTTGGATTTTTTAAAATTTTCTAATTTTTGTTTTGTTTTTATTTCTCCCCCTAAATTTGTGCATAGGAGAGAAACGAAAGTAAATGCGCAAATTTAAACTATCCTAAAACAAAAATTAGTCTTTAAAGCGAATCAGCTTAAGAAAAACTCAGGAGTATAGAGAAGAAAAACTCAAACTGTAAGTCACGGATTGAATTTGCATCCAGAAGGTCTGAGAACAGCACGCGTAATCTCAGAACATATCCGAAAATTCTTCATGTCATTAAGCACTAACCCCATGTGTGATCTCTTCTTTTCTTCATTTCCCGCAAAGGACACATACTCCCAAACCAAGTTATGAATGTTGTAGAGTTGAGAGATGTCCCCTATCATGTGCCTGGAACAGCCATTACCAACAAACCGAAGTCTGATGATATGCCTCCATAGCTGTTCCGACACAGAGCGGGATCAGTTGGTCTTTGGAACCCAGTCCATTTTGAAACTGGGTTGACCATTGTCATCTTTGCAGGGTACTCTCTCCCATGACATGTCCTGTTTATCACAAACAGAATATGTAGAAATATTAGAATCATTAGGAGATTTAGGAGAGTGAGCCTTTGGTACCCATTGGTAGTTGGGTTTAACCCATTTCTTTTTCGATCCGATGGGTGCCTCGACACTTGATTTGGAACTTGAAGCCGATCTTCGAGATGACTTTGACCTAGTCGGTCTTTGTTTCACTGGAGCATCTCTTGGATTGGGCTTCTTGGCCGACATTCCCTTCTTTCCCTTGGGATTCAAATTCTTGGCCTTGGGAGTTGAACTCTTGGCCTTCTGCGCGTTCCAATCACCATTGTCTGATCGTGACCTTGAGGGGTTTCTTTTGAAGTATCTCCCTCTTGGTGCGTTCTGCCAACCTTGTGCATAGCAGGGAACGTATGCGCGATTAGGACAATTTCTGGCAATGTGTCCAGGTGTTCCACAGTGAAAACATGTCTTTTTATTCACTGTGGAGTTGTTTCTTCCTGCCCCTGGTGGCGTATCTTTGCCTTGTCTCTTGATTTTCCCACACGCACAGTTACAGCAGGCATTCTGTTTAACTTGTGTTGGTGGCCTGTATTTCTCAACAATATGCTTGTTAGGAGTAACAAAATTAGAAGCAACAGAATCAGAGTTCAAGGAGTCATTGGATTGTTCAATAGTTTTCTCCTTGTTCTCATCCTCTACTGCTTTACCTGCACATGAAGTAGAATCATTAGTATCGTTCAGCTCAACACCCTCAGTTGCTTGTTCAGCAGCTGGTTTACCGTATACCATAAATGGTTCTCGGTCAATCTCTTCCTGAGTCAAGGGATTAACATAATACGAATGGTTAAATGGAGGAGGAACATTATCATACCCTAGACCCTTGTTTTGATTATTTTTGAATTTTAATTGGTCTTCAAATAAGGAATCGACTGTCTTACTTGACGCAGTGTAATTTTTGAAACTAATATCTGTTTTTCCACACTTAATTTTCAAAGCGTCAAGTTCTTCAGTCACAGCAGCAAGTTTTCTTTTGATGTGATCATAATTCTCACACTTGTTGCTGTAATCTTCTTGCAGTTTTCTAAAGTCATTTATTTTATTTTCAAGTTGAGTTTTTAAGGGCTTTTGGTTTTTCCTAAGTGTGTATCCCTCATATTTTAAGTCCTCGTTCTCTCTCTTGATTAAGTCTATTGATTCTCGCAAAAATTTCATAGTTTTAGCACAAGATGGAGAGCATGAAACTTCATTTACCGGAATTGATGTGGAACTCATTTTTTTTTTATTTGAATTTGCCCTTTGACTTAAAAACCGAGAAAGTCAACCTTAAAAATCAAATTAAAAAGTCAAACTCAAAAGCAAAACTTGAAAAATTAAAAGTTAAATGAAAAAGTCAAAATTTAAAGTCAAAGGTCAAACTTGAAAATCAAAAGCAAAATTTTGAGATCAAAAGTTAAAAATAAAGTCTAAAATTAAAAACTAAAATTTTTGGGATGAAAATGGAATTTAAAAATAAAAAAAAATTGATTTTTAGGGTTAAAAGTGCCAATTTTCGAAAATAATAACCGAGAAGGAGTCTTTAAGAATTCAAAACGGGAGGAAAAGAACATCAGGGTTGCTAGAGCAGTTGGTAGGCGCTGTGATGTTGAACAAAGGGACCCGGGTTCGAATCCTGGCAGCCACTTCCCCTTCTCTTTTTTTTAGATGCGAAGGATGCTGCGAGGACGAGCTGAACGAGACGAGGTTCTAACTTCGGACCCTATGCGAGGATTGGACCGTACACGAGACCGAGCCGCACACGGAGACCGCAAACTCCTAGCCGCACACCGAGGACCTTACACCCTGGCCGCACACTCCGAGCCGCAAACCGAAGCCGCACACCGAGGCTGCTGAGCCGCACACCGAGGCCGCACACTCCGAGCCGTACACCTTCAACCAGCTCAACCGCACACCTTCAAAGTCCAACCGCACACCTTCAACAGATGCGAAGAAAAAACGACGTTTTTCACCCTTTTTGCTCCAAAACTCGATCAAAAACTCGTTTTTATGAAAAATGCAAAGAAGGAAACCCCCCTTATTTTGCCCCGATCTATCCAAAAACGCAAAAATCTTTTCAAAATAAGATCAAATAAGCTCCAGATCAGACAAAATTGATTGATACTATCCAAGCTCTGATACCAATTGTAAGTCCCCGAATTACTTGTGTATCAATCAGATCCAATTGATGGTGCGGAATCCCAATCAATTGGATGATGTCAGATCAAATAGAAGAGAAGGAGAAGAAGAATTAAGATGAATCTAATGATGTATTCAATATGAATGATGCTCCTTACAATAGATTCTCTCACACACACTCTTCTTCTCTCTAACTTTCTCTCTCTAGAACATGCTCCTCCCCCAATAACTCTTCTAGCCTAACACTCCTCACCCTATATATATGAGACATGGGCCACCAGCAGCACACGAGTGTACAACTGCACACGCGTGTGCGGCCGTACACAGAGTGTGCGGCCGCACACACATGTGCAGCCGTACACAGCCACAAAATTACAGAAAAATATATTTTCTTAGAAAAGCAAAGTATAAACCATATTTTTGACCCAACATATTTACCAATTCATAAAGCACATATAAATTATAATAGGTATAATTTATGATACATAGAACAATTATTCATGATTCAAGTATACTAGAATACACTGTTTTACATGAAACAAGGGTTTTGATTCAAAACAAAACAAGAGTTTACACTTGTACATGTTCGGAATACTAATTCAAGAACATACTATCAATCATTTATTTCAGAATGATTGGGTTTTCATATCTAATATACATGTAACGTTTATATGCTTTTTATGAGACATTCAATTCAGGTTGTTTAATTCATTTTAGACAACCAAGGTAAAGTCCTGACATTATAACCAGAATCTCCAGTCTGGGGATCGAAACAAGTTGTGTGTAGATCTATATCGGGATTGAAAACCCCGCACTCAGGCTGCTAGCTACAGTCAGGCATACACGCCAATGAGTGGCAATTGTTATCAACAGTTTAAACGCTCACAAGGCGTTTGTTTCAGGCGTTCATGTCTTAGTATGGTTATAATAACTCATTAAAAAGATATTAACAACACGTTAGTGTATAAACAACTAAACGTAAGTACATCTTCAAAGTACCAGTTTACAAAATACAAAGTACAATGGTATACTACAGTTTTCAATAACAGCTGGTGAAGCCAGGCACACTCTCAGTTACAAGTTTTACAAATATAGAACATTGGTTTACAAAATATAACGGTTTTATGGGAATAAAACTACTTTTCATATACAACAGAAAATATGAGATTTTCTGGAACAGTTTTCATAATCAAGATACAAAGACACCCTATCAAACATAAAGACTTATGTACTCACTCAACTTATTGTTGATACTCTATTTTCAAATTACTTGTATTCTCAGGGAAATAATAACAGGTACTCCTCGAGCTTTTTGAGAAGATGGAGCTAATATGAGTCATATCTTCTTCTTTTGTATAACTATTTTGGTTTCAATATACAATGATTGAACCCATGTAAATACTTATACTTTTAAATACAATGGTTGTCTGTACTTTGATTACTATGATGCATGTGTTGTGATACTACAAATAAAGTCCTCAACCCCGGACGTTTCCGCGGTCTGGTTTGGGGGTGTGACACTTGCTTTCATCTTTTATTGGTATCATTTGTCATTAATTTCATTTTTATTTTATATCTGTAGGTGCGTTCATGGATGCCATCAGTAACACGGATTTTGAGTTTGTTGCTTCTGGACATTATGCAACAGTTATTCACCCCTTATAGATGAAACCAATGATCTTTCATTTCTTCATCTGTCAAAGGATATGGTAAAGATATGCTCTACTTATTTTCATTACCAACATACTGACACCTGTTAGTGAAGGATACATGTTAGAATTTCAGGTGAAGGATCAGACCTACTTTCTTTCATATCTCTCACAAGCTCAGCTTAAAAGACTAGTGCTTCCTCTTGGATGTATTTACTATTTAAACCAATCAAATTATCAGGATGAAGTCCGAAGGCTTTCCCGGATAGTGGATTTGCCTAACCAAGAAAGAAGGGATTCACATGGAATATGCTTTCTTGGGAAGGTATGTTTATGTTATGTTTGTTAACAAAAATCCCAACTTTGGAAGACATATTGGTGAAAAAGAAGGTATATTATTAGAAGTTGAAACAGGTGATTTTTTAGGAAGCTCCCTCTCAAAATTGCGGTTCTTCTCAGTGGTGGCGTTGATAGCAGTGTCGCACTTCGCCTCCTCCACGCAACCGGACATTCCTGCACCGCTTTCTACCTTAAAATCTGGTTCCAAGTGCGTATGCTTTTCTTTTGATTGACATTACATTGCATATACGAATAAAATCATTCAGGTTTATGCCCACAGTGTCTGGTTTCGAATATAAACTTAATTTTGTTGGTTATCTAAAATTTAAATTGTAAGTTTTTGCAAATTTGCTCATCTCTTGTCGTATGATACATCTGCTCCAATTCATGAATTTAACATCGATTTTTGTGGTGGATGATATGATTGAAATGAACAAAAATCTCCTCTCTTATTGGTTTCTTATTTTACTTGTACCTTTCTCTTTGTCTTTGAGCATTTTGAAGCTTGAAACCTATAATTCCTTACCGAGTACTCCTCTGAGTACTTGCTACTCGGCCCCTTACCGAGGCGAGTTGCAAAATCCCGAGTACTCCCCGATCGACCCTTTACCGAACTGAGCAGTGTTGTGAAAGCCGGTCAACTCGGTGATTAATATGTATAATATACTTAATGATCTATTATTTAACACACATACATGTGATTATTACTACATATATATCTTAAATTTTCAGTAGTTATTCATGAAGTGAGACCATTATGTGTTTTTCAATTTTTGTGTATTCACATGTATAAAATTTTGTTATATATTTAAATCAACTTATGATTTTAACTTAAATTTTGACATATATAATGTCCCTAAAAATATTTCTACATGAATTACCGAATCTGAGTACTCCCCGAGTACTCGCTACTCGGTAGTCGGCCGAGCAGGTGCCGAGTAACGAGTTCTACAACCTTGTACTGGACATTATGCAAAAGTTATTCAACCCCTTACAGATGAAACCAATGAGCTTTCATTTCTTCAGCTATCAAAGGATATGGTAAAGATATGCTCTACTTATTTTCATTACCAACTTACTAACACCTGTCATTGAGGGATACATGTTAGAATTTTAGGTGAAGGATCAAACATACTTTCTTTCATATCTCTCACAAGCTCAACTTAAAAGACTAGTGCTTCCTCTTGGATGTATTCCAAAAGTAAGTAAGTTTGCTTTATGAAAAACAAAACACAATTTATGAATTTACTATTTAAACCTATCAAATTATCAGGATGAAGTCCGAAGGCTTGCCCGGAAATTTGATTTGCCTAACCAAGAAAGAAGGGATTCACAGGGAATATGCTTTCTTGGGAAGGTATGTTTATGTTATGTTTGTTCACAAAAATCCCAACTTTGGAGAATATATATATATATATATATATATATATATATATATATATATATATATATATATATATTAAATGGAAATTTATGTAATTATTATACAGATTAGGTATAGTGAATTTGTTGAAAGACATATTGGTGAAAAAGAAGGTATACTATTAGAAGCTGAAACATATGATTTTTTAGGAGTCCACATGGGCTTCTTGTTTTACACAATTGGTCAACGCCAAGGTTTGGGTCTTCCAGGAGGACCATGGTAAACCTTTTATTATTATTATTATTATTATTATTATTATTATTATTATTATTATTATTATTATTATTATTATTATATAAAAATCTTTAAAGATTTATTTATTTATAAAAAAATACATGTTATGTTTCCATGCAGGTATGTTGTTGAGAAAGATGTAAAAAATAATGTGGTTTTTGTATCAAGAAATTATTATTCGGTTGATAAAAGAAGACGATCATTTCTTGTTGGATCCTTTAGATGGATCAGCGGATCTCCTCCTCACAACTTAAACCACTTAAGATGCAAGGTAAACATAAACATTACATGACTTAAATTTTTCACTTAATAACAGACTTAATATACATTTACACGTGTTTTTGACAGGTTCGACATGGCCCGCTTTTCTATGATTGCAGTTTGCATATAGAAGAAAAAGATGGTATTGGCACTGTCTAATTACCTGAAGATGATCAGGGTCTCGCTGTTGGCCAATTTGCAGCTTTTTATCAACAAGAGCTTTGTGTGGGGTCAGGGGTAATTTTGGAATCATGGGATGATGCTAAGGGGTTTCCTGTTTCTGTTTCTGTTTCTGACAAGGCTCGTCATATTGCAAAAACGGAAGATAAATCTAAGCTTGGTAAACCCATCATGATCAAACAAAAAACTCAAGATTGTTTGACAGATTCGATATGCTAAGGGGTTTCCTGTTTCTGTTTATGTTCAAATATATTTATTTAATATTACAGAAAACTTGAGTATCAATTAATTGTTAAAAACTAACAATCTTACTTTGGATTGAGTAAACAATACTTTTTACATAGTTTGATTAAAGCAATAATGAAAAAAAAAATTTAAAAATTAAACTACAAGTCCAAAGCAGGAGGTTTTTAATTGGAAGGGAATAAGCTATCAGAAAGCCCTTGTTGCTATTTTTTTTCTGCCCAACCAATAATCGACTCCCCTTTTCATCTACCATTCTAAGCCTCTGACCAAAACACCATTAACAATGAATTGATGATGTTACTGCTTTTACTAAAATGATTATAATGAAATTAACTTGGACATTTTACTTGCTCGAGGCATCTTCTTGATGAAGTCCAAAGCAAGCACAATCACAATATTAGCCATTTCAATCTCCTTATTTGTAGCATTTTTCTTCTACTCAATTGTTTAAAGTTTACAACCATCTATATGCAGACGTCACAATCAAATGATCTTTGCATAAACTTATTACAGTTGACTTTCCACTTCCACTTGGAACAAAATTCATGTCTTTTGTGAGTGTATATGTGTGGTAAGAATAAAACAGTACAACTTACTAGCATGTAACGTCACTTTCATATCATTCTTACACCAGACACCTGTAATGCAAGGCTCATCCCCGTCATCGGCATTCTCGGCATTCTGTGCCTCCAACTCATCTCCGTCTCCGACATTCTCAACATTCTGTTCTCGACATACATTTTTTTCTTTTGGTATCGAACCAGAAAGAAAACAAGAGCAGCTAAAGAACGAAATTAACCTTGAGGAAAAGATTTTTAACCCAAGCTAACCGTACATACATTCTCTCATCTCTTCTTTCTTAATTAGCGTGTGTGTGTGTATATATATATATATATATATATATATATATATATACATACATACATACATACTAGTGGTGTACCCGCGCAAACCGGCGGCGACAAATAGTTTCCGGGCGGTAATTAACTCATTTCGTTGACTAGTTTCCTTGTGGCAAAACAGTGAATAAAAATTTAATAATGAATCTTGTACATCAAATTGTCACGTATGAAAGAACCATTAACCATAACAAATAAAAAACAGTAAACAAACGATCTATCCTCCTAACTACTATGCCCTGAAACGAAGGGTTCACATGCATCAAATCAATCACTCGTATAGCTTTTGCAAATCATCTTTAAATTTGGCCTTCAATTGTTCCCTCTTTAACTTGAGTGCGCCTCCAACTCATCTCCGTCTCCGGGATTCTCAGCATTCTGTTCTCGACATACTTTTTTTTTCTTTTGGTTTCGAACACAAAGAAAACAAGAGCAGCTCAAAAATGAAATTATCCTAGAAGAAAAGATTTTTAACCCTAGCTAACCGTACACACCAGTTATTGTGTTTATTTAGTACATATCAAAAAGGACTAAAGTTAGGATTTTTTTTAACAAAAACACCAATTAATGACGACATTAGTTTTACGTGATGATCTGTTCCTCAGCAGGTCATGGGACCAAATTTGGAGAGAGATTGTGTTTTTGTTGACAAAAACACCATTAATCGAAAATTATTGTGTTTAACCCAATGCCGACGATGGGAGAAGATCTGTTCGGCATTCTCGGCATTCTGCACCTCCAACTCATCTCCGTCTCCGACATTCGTAGCATTCTGTTCTCGACATGCATTTTTTTCCCTTGGTTTCGAACAGAAAGAAAACAAGAGTAGCTAAAGAATGAAGTTAACCTAGAAGAAACTATTTTTAACCTATCTAACCGTACAGACCAGTTATTATGTATCATTAGTAGTCTCTGCACACCAGGTTCTTGAGCAATGGGCCAAAAGTGGTGGCATTAGTTACAATGATTATGTTGAGCTTTATGCTAAAAAAGAGGCTGTATCCGAGGTCCACCAATCTCTCTCCAAATTTGGTTTTAATTTATATTTCAATGAGGGTGTTTATGTCTTTGTTCATCACATCCTCCCACCTTTTTCTTATGAATTGTGTTTTGTAGTTAGGAAAAGAGGCAAAGTTAGACATGTTTGAGCTTCCTGCAAAGATAAAGATGCTGCCAGATCCATGGACACCTGAATCTGGATTAGTGACAACTGCACTCAAGTTAAAGAGGGAGCAATTGAAGGCCAAATTTAAGGATGATTTATAAAAGCTATACGAGTGATGGATTTGATGCACGTGAACCTTTTGTTTCATGGCATAGTAGTTAGGAGGATAGATCGTCTTATTACTGTTTTTTATTTGTTATGGTTAATAGTTCTTTCATACGTGACAATTTGATGTACAAGATTTTAAGGAATAATTAATTCTCTAAACGTTAAAAATCTGATTTTTTCGATAATAAATATATTAATTCGTACATTCTAAAGGAATATGTTTATGATTATCTTGAAAAAAAATATTAAATTCTGACAAAATATTATAAACATGTATTATCAAGATTAATAATTTTTAATGAATACAAATTTCATATGAAAAGAATTTTTATATCTTAAAATCCGTAATTATATTCATTCTTAACAAAACAATTATGAACATTCATTCTAAAAGAATATAAGTAATAATGGTTAACAATTACATTTATTCTTTAAGAATAAAACTGAGAATGATTAAAAATCAAATCAAAATATTGAAATCTAAGTAAAATACTAATACATTATGATAGAATATAATTACTAATCATTCTGATAGAAAAAATGTTAATCCATTCTGAACGAATATTGTTGCCTTACTTTCCATTCTTCACCAGTATTCAAACCGAGTTTCCATTCTTCACCAAGCTTCTTTTTCTTTACTTGATGTTATTTCTTTCAGATTTTATAGCTGCATAAGAATTTATAACCTTCTTAAACTTTGCTTCATTGTTGTGCAAAAAAAAACATTACAACTTGCTTAAGCATGAAAATTTCTAGTCAGGAACATAAGAATTTTGTTGGAACATTTAATATGCAAACCAAAAATTAATAATGGTTAAGCATGAGTGAAGGCCAAATTTAAGGATGATTAGCAAAAGCTATACGAGTGATTGATTTGATGCATGTGAACCATTTGCTTTATGGCATAGTAGTTAAGAGGATAGATCGTCTATTTACTACTGGTTTTTATTTATTATGGTTAATGGTTATTTCATTCGTGACAATTTGATGTACAAGATTCATTATTAAATTTTTATTCACTGTTTTGCCACAAGGAAACTATTCAACAAAATGAGTTAATTACCGCCCGAAAACTATTTGTCGCCGCCGCTTTGCACAGGTACACTACTAGTGTGTGTGTAAATATATATATATATATATATATATATATATATATATATATATATATATATACACACACGTTAATTAAGATAGAAAAGATGAGAGAATGTTTGTACGGTTAGCTAGGGTTAAAAATCTTTTTATTCTAGGTTAATTACATTTTTTAGCTGCTCTTTTTTTCTTTCTGTTCGAAACCAAAAGAAAAAAAATGTATGTCGAGAACAAAATGCTAAGAATGCCGGAGACAGAGATGAGTTGGAGGTGCGAAATGCCGACGACGAGGATTAGCTGTTGCGAGCCTAGCATTATAGGTGTCTGGTGTAAGAATGATATGAAAATGACCTTACATTCTAGTAAGTTGTACTGTTTTTGCAAATTAAAGAGGTGTTTAACTTATATTTCAATAATTATGCTGAGCTTTCTATTGGGCTAGTAGCGGTGTTTAACTTTTTATGTCTTGATATAAAAGTGACAGGAAATTTAAAGTATAAGGGTGAAAGTGTAAATAGTTCTTTCTAAATTATTATTTTCACGCACAGTGTCATCAACACGGCACAAAAGCTCGATGAAATGATGCTCAGAACAACAACGGCAGCTCTGTTTCACCCCACAACCAAGCTGTACTATTTACCCCTCAAGGCTTTCGTCTCACACTCGCTTCACAAACCCCAACGGTTAATAAATCGACAAAGCTACCCTCAAGCTGATAGAACAATCTTATCCATCAACACACCTCGTTCTCTATCATCTACAACAGTTCCCCAAATTTCTAACGACACGACTTCTGATTTGGACAGCAGTTACTTATCTTGCTCAATGACCAATAGCAAGCACCCTCTCAAAATTATGGTTCTTCTCGGTGGTGGCGTTGATAGCAGTGTCACACTTCGCCTCCTCCACGCAGTCTGACACTCCTGCACCGCTTTCTACCTTAAAATCTGGTTCAAAGTGTGTATGCTTTTCTTTTGATTGACATTACAATGCATATACGAATCAAATCATTCAGGTTGATGCCCACAATGTCTGGTTTTGAATATAAACTTAATTTTGTTGGTTATCTAAAAATTCAAATTGTAAGTTTTTGCAAATTTCTCATCTCTTGTCGGATGATACATCTCCTCCAATTCAAGAGTTTAACATCGATTTTTGTGTTGGATGATATGGTTGAAATGAATAAAAATCTCCTCTCTTATTGTTTCTTATTTTACTATTACCTTTCTCTTTGTCTTTGAGCATTTTGAAGTTTGAAACCTATAATTCCTTAGCTAGTTCTGGTAATGAATTCGTTCGTAGGAAGATTTCCAGAACTTTTGGTCTGAATGTCCATGGGAAGAGGATTTGAACTACGCAAAAGTTGTTTGCAATCAGGTTGCTTTCTTCACCTTCATATTATCCATCTTATTTTATCTTCAGATTTCCGTTAGTGCTTAACTGGATTTGAAGGCTCAAAAACACTTCTCTGCTTTGTTTTAACAAATTAACTTCTCGATTCTATCACTCAAATCCCTGATTATGTGATTTTTTTCTTTATTTCTTTCAAGTTTGATTAGTATTGAAGGAAATATATCAACATTTTTTTTCAGGTTGATGTAGCACTGGAAGTTGTACATATGAAAAATGAATATTGGGACAAAGTGGTTAGTCACACCCCTCTTGATGCATTTTCTCACATTCATCATCATCAATGGAACTTATTGCATACAAGTTACAATGTTGCAGGTTTCTTACATTATTGATGAGTATAAATGTGGGTGTACACCTAACCATGATGTTCTTTGCAATACAAGAATCAAATTTGGTGTGTAATCATATTGCTTGCTTTCATCTTTTATTGTTCTCATTTGTCATTAATTTCATTTTTATATTATATCTGTAGGTGCGTTCATGGATGCCATCGGTAACTTGGATTTTGAGTTTGTTGCTTCTGGACATAATGCAAATGTTATTCACCCCCTTATAGATGAAACCAATGAGCTTTCATTTCTTCAGCTGTCAACGGATATGGTAAAGATATGCTCTACTTATTTTCATTACCAACTTCCTGATAACTGTCAGTGAGGGATACATGTTAGAATTTTTGGTGAAGGATTAGACCTACTTTGTTTCATATCTCTCACAAGCTCAGCTTAAAAGACTAGTGCTTCATAGTAGATGTACTCCAAAAGTAAGTAAGTTTGCTTTATGAAACACAAAACAGAATTCACGAATTTACTATTTAAACCAATCAAATTATCAGGAAGAAGTCCGAAGGTTGCCCGGAAATTTGATTTGCCTAAGTGGAAATTTATGTAATTATTATACTGATTTGGTTCAGTGAATTTGTTGGAAGACATATTGGTGAAAAAGAAGGTATATTATTAGATGCAGAAACTGGTGATTTTTTAGGAGTCCACAGGGGCTTCTGGTTTTACACAATTGGTCAACGCCAAGGTTTGGGTCTTGCAGGAGGACCGTGGTAAACCTTTTATAATTATTATTATTATTATTATTATTATTATTATTATTATTATGTAAAAATATTTAAACATTTATTTATTTATAAAAAAAATACATGTCATGTTTCCATGCAGTTATGTTGTTGAGAAAGATGTAAAAAAATAATATGGTTCTTGTATCAAGAAACTATTATTATGTTGATAAAAGAAGGCGATCATTTCGTATTGGATCCTTTAGATGGATCAGCGGATATCCTCCTCATAACTTAAACCACTTAAGATGCAAGGTAAACATAAACATTACATGACTTCAATTTTTCACATAATAACAGACTTAATATACATTTACACGTGTTTTTGACAGGTTCGGCATGGCCTGTTTTTCTATGATTGCAGTTTGCATGTAGAAGAAAATGATGGTTTTGGCACTGTCCAATTACCTAAAGATGATCAGGGTCTCGCAGCCGGCCAATTTGCAACTTTTTATCAACAAGAGCTTTGTGTGGGGTCAGGGGTAATTTTGGAATCATGGGATGATGCTAAGGGGTTTCCTGTTTCTGTTTCTGACAAGGCTCGTCATATTGCAAAAACGGAAGATAAATCTAAGCTTGGTAAACCCATCATGATCAAACAAAAAACTCAAGATTGTTTGACAGATTCGATATGCTAAGGGGTTTCCTGTTTCTGTTTATGTTCAAATATATTTATTTAATATTACAGAAAACTTTAGTATCAATTAATTGTTAAAAACTAACAATCTTACTTTGGATTGAGTAAACAATACTTTTTACATAGTTTGATTAAAGCAATAATGAAAAAAAAATTAAAAATTAAACTACAAGTCCAAAGCAGGAGGTTTTTAATTGGAAGGGAATAAGCTATCAGAAAGCCCTTGTTGCTATTTTTTTTCTGCCCAACCAATAATCGACTCCCATTTTCATCTACCATTCTAAGCCTCTGACCAAAACACCATTAACGATGAATTGATGATGTTACTGCTTTTACTAAAATGATTATAATGAAATTAACTTGGACATTTTACTTGCTCGAGGCAACTTCTTGATGAAGTCCAAAGCAAGCGCAATCACAATATTAGCCACTTCAATCTCCTTATTTGTACCATTGTCTTCTACGCAGTTGTTTGAAGTTTACCACCATCTATATGCAGACGTCACAATCAAATAATCTTTACATAAACTTATTACAGTTGACATTCCACTTCCACTTGGAACAAAATTCATGTCTTTTGTGAGTGTGTATGTGTGGTAAGAATAAAACAGTACAACTTACTAGCATGTAACGTCACTTTCATATCATTCTTACACCAGACCCCTATAATGCAAGGCTCATCCCCGTCATCGGCATTCTCGACATTCTGTGCCTCCAACACATCTCCGTCTCCGACATTCTCAATATTCTGTTCTCGACATACATTTTTTTCTTTTGGTATCGAACCAGAAAGAAAACAAGAGCAGCTAAAGAATGAAATTAACCTAGAAGAAAAGATTTTTAACCCAAGCTAACCGTACAGACATTTTCTCATCTCTTCTTTCTTAATTAACGTGTGTGTGTATGTATATATATATATATATATATATATATATATATATATATATATATATATATATATATATATACATTCTAGTGGTGTACCCGCGCAAAGCGGCGGCGAAAAATAGTTTCCGAGCGGTAATTAACTCATTTCGTCGAATAGTTTCCTTGTGGCAAAACAATGAATAAAAATTTAATAATGAATCTTGTACATCAAACTGTCACGTATGAAAGAACCATTAACCATAACAAATAAAAAACAGTAAACAGACGATTTATCCTCCTAACTACTATGCCATGAAACAAAAGGTTCACGTGCATCAAATCAATCACTCATATAGCTTTTGCAAATTATCTTTAAATTTGGCCTTCAATTGTTCCCTCTTTAACTTGAGTGTGCCTCCAACTCATCTCTGCTCCGACATTCTCAGTATTCTGTTCTCGACATACCTTTTTTTTCTTTTGGTTTCGAACAGAAAGAAAACAAGAGCAGCTAAAAAATGAAATTAACCTAGAAGAAAAGATTTTTAACCCTAGCTAACCGTAGACACCAGTTATTGTGTTTATTTAGTACAGATCAAAAAGGACTAAAGTTGGGATTTTTGTTAACAAAAACACCAATTAATGACGGCATTAGTTTCACGTGATGATCTGTTCAGCATCAGCAGGTCATGGGACCAACTTTGGAGAGAGATTGTGTTTTTGTTGACAAAAACACCATTAATCGAAAATTATTGTGTTTAACCCAATGCCAACGACGGGAGAAGATCTGTTCGGCATTCTCGGCATTCTGTGCCTCCAACTCATCTCCGTCTCCGACATTCTCAGCATTCTGTTCTCGACATACATTTTCTCCATTGGTTTCGAACAGAAAGAAAAACAAAAGCAGCTAAACAATGAAATTAACCTAGAAGAAAAGATTTTTAACCTATCCAACCGTACAGACCAGTTATTGTGGATCATTAGTAGTCTCTGCACACCAGGTTCTTGAGCAATGGGCCAAAAGTGGTGGCATTAGTTACAATGATTATGCTGAGCTTTGTGCTAATAAAGAGGTTGTCTCTGAGGTCCACCAATCTCACTCCGAAGTTGGTTTTAATTTATATTTCAATGAGGGTATTTATATCTTTGTTCAGCACATCCTCCCACCTTTTTCTTATGAATTGTGTTTTGTAGTTAGGAAAAGAGGCAAAGTTAGACATGTTTGAGCTTCCTGCAAAGATAAAGCTGCTACCAGATCCATGGACACCTGAATCTTGATTAGTGACAACTGCACTCAAGTTAAAGAGGGAACAATTGAAGGCCAAATTTAAGGATGATATATAAAAGCTATACGAGTGATTGATTTGATGCACGTGAACCTTTTGTTTCATTGCATAGTAGTTAGGAGGATAGATCGTCTTATTACTATTTTTTATTTATTATGGTTAATAGTTCTTTCATACGTGACAATTTGATGTACAAGATTTTAAGGAATAATTAATTCTCTAAACGTTAAAAATATGATTTTTTCGATAATAAATATATTAATTCGTACATTCTAAAGGAATATGTTTATGCTTATCTTGAAAAAAAAGTATTAAATTTTAACAAAATATTATAAACATGTATTATCAAGATTCATAATTTTTAATGAATACAAATTTCATATGAAAAGAATTTTTATATCTTAAAATCCGTAATTATATTCATTCTTAACAAAACAATTCTGAACATTCATTCTAAAAGAATATAAGTAATAATGGTTAACAATTACATTTATTCTTTAAGAATAAAACTGAGAATGATTAAAAATCAAATCAAAACATTGAAATCTAAGTAAAAACTAATACATTATGATAGAATATAGTTACTAATCATTCAGATAGAAAAAATGAAAATCCATTCTGAACGAATATTGTTGCCTTACTTTCCATTCTTCACTAGTCTTCAAACCGAGTTTCCATTCTTCACCAAACTTCTTTTTCTTTACTTGATATTATTTCTTTCTGAATTTATAGCTTCATATGTAACATCCCAAAATTCCAGGCCAAAAATTTCATTTTTAATTAGGTTATTACATAAAACCAAAGTGTGAATCAAAATATAATATTATGAAATCATATGAGAGTATAATCCCAAGGATCTCGTGTGCGGAAAACATAGTGTGATGCGCTGCGATCAAGCCGGCTCCTTTCCTTTGCAAACAAAGCACCTGAAACCAAAACTGTAAACCGTAAGCACGAAGCTTAGTGAGTTCCCCCATCATACCACATACCACATAATACCATCGGTATCTTTTAACCGGTATCCGTCATCGGTATCTTTCAACCGGTAACCGGGGACTATTTCACCCCCACCACCATCACATAATAATATATCATAAACATACTGGTCACATACTAATATCATAGCATACTGATCACATACTAACATCATAACATATCGATCAAATACTAACATCATAACATAATGATCACATACCAACATATCATAAACAAACAGATAAGCCTTGCATGGGTTCTGTATACCCCTTCGGTATCTTTCAACCGGTATCTGCCTTCGGTATCTTTCAACCGGTATCCGTCATCGGTATCTTTCAACCGGTAACCGGGGACTATTTCACCCCCACCACTATCATATAATAACATGTCATAAACATATTGGTTCCATGATAACATAACATAAACATACTGAATCACATAATGGCATATCATAACCATACTAGTCACTTAATAACATATCATACATGGGTTATGTCTACCCCTTCGATATCTTTCAACCGGTAACTATGGGCTATATCACCCCTACCGCTACTAACACATATGTCATAGCATCTTAGTACATAAAGCATATCAGATAACAACACACCAGATAATTATCACAAAGACAATCATCTAACAAATAACTCCTACTAGTGGGTCGGCATTGTGGCCGTAGACCCACTCCTACTGGAAGGTAACTCACCTCACACTGCTGAAGTCCCGTAGACTCAACCCCACACTACTGAAGTCCCGCAGACTCGATCCCAGCTGCTGGATGACAGATTCCCGATCTGTCAATATCAAAACATCACCCAATTAATAATTGGGTCCCAACACATAACCAATAGTACATTCTTTGGATAATTACTACATTACCCCCAAGCTTGGCTCATTCAAGCCCAAGGCCCAATCCATAGGCCCAAAGTCAATTAGGAATCAAGCCCAACACATGGCCCAATTTTCCAAATTGGGCCCAGGCCTATACATGGTCTTATTCTAAGGCCCAACATCATATAATCATTAAGGCCCAAACTATGGCCCATCTATGGCCCAATTTTCCAAATTGGACCCAAACCCCTTACATGGGCCTTACCCTAGGCCCATTAAGTATTCTAGTCCATTTGCTTGACTTTGGATGGCCCATTAATAACGCAATCATCAAGGCCCAATAGAAGGCCCAACAATACACCCATGTGAAATTAGGGTTTCACATAAAATGACGATTAGGGTTAAGTGTTTCTCACTTAACCCATTAAGGACTTAATCCATTAAGGACTTAATCCATTAAGTCCATCATTCTTCTAAATAAGTCATATGGTGTGATTGGGCTTAATCACACAATTCCATTATTCCAATGGCCCATAAGTAGGTCTCAATAAGTCCAAGCCCATAAATCCAATATTAGGGTTTTCTAAACCCTAATTAGGGTTTCCAACCCATCTTAGCCCAATAGGCCCATTAGTTAAGTCCTTGGATCCATTAGGGTCCATTAAACCCATTAGACACATGTTTGGGCTTTTCTGTCCATTAAGCCTCATTGGGCCCACTAGGGTTTCAAGGCCCATTAGGGTTTTAGTCCCTTGACCAAACATCCCCAAACTAGCAATCCCAACACAACTAAGCACACCGCCACCCGACACGGCGGCCGGTGGCGGCAGGAGGCGGCAGCCACCACCCTAAGGTGGTGGTTCTCGGTTTTTCTTTCATTAATCCAATTGGTTACAGTTACAATGCCCATCCGATCAACACACGCACACCCTAATCTAATTACAAACACATACACACGAAAATACACCCACCCATGGTGGTACACGGCGGCAGCCACCACCTCACGGTAGTGGCAGTGGCGGTCTTCCTCACTTTCCGGCCTAGCATC